GACGTTACAGACCTAGATCTGCTTTTGTGAAGAGGCAGAGTGACAGACGACAATCTTGAACCAGTTTTCACACTACTAATAAAGAAAATCAACAAACCCCCAAAAAAGAACAAAAAGTATCACAACAGAGCAAGAACGAAACAGGCCAAAACCCCTAAAATGAATCAATAATAAGATACAGTAAATAAGATACAACTCCAAAACACACAGGCGGAGGTCTCAGACATCAGCATCACTCCATAGCAAAATAAAAGGCAGACCTGAACACTCAGAGCGAATGCTGTGGGCTTCTGGGTCTCTGTGCACTCGTTCCGAGGCAAATTTAGACTGATCATATGTATTAGGAGTTTCATAATCATATTAGAATGACAGAACAGAGATGATATCAAGCAGATCACACTGTATGATATAGTCCACATTGGCAGATATTGATTTCTGAGTGGTCCATCCAGCGAAAAACTCGCCGGCATCACATTATGGTTTGTGGGAGGTTGCCAGAATGTTGCTATATGGTTGCTAAGATGTTCAAAGTGGTTTAATGCATTGCTATGCAGTTGCTAGGGTGTTCTGATGGTTGCTAGGTGGTTACTTACTGGCCCAAAGTAAAAAGAGCCCACCTCCAAGTCTCTAGGTTAGTGGTCGAGTGATTTTGATGGCCGATATCTTAGAGAGCATGGTGGCCGATATAAATCTGATATATCACACTATTTCATATAAAGATAGTAAAAACACATGCACACATAACAAATGCTTAAATTAAATTTATAGGCCTATTTATTTTACATACGATTTACTGAATGTTAGAATTTGAAAATGAATAAATTAAAAAAAGATTCGAACTTAATGAAAATAAATCTGTAAAATAAATAGATTTAATTAGAAGGTCATTTTTATGCAGTCAACAAATGCACATTTCAGAAGATCTCGCAGCTGAATTCAATAAAGTTTGTAAGGTCAGTAAAATTTACTACATATTCAAAGCCTTTTGATTAAATTAAATGCGTATTTGATGACGGTAGATGAAAAAGTATTATAACCTTTGTTTTTCTGTTACTATGACACTATAACACTTTTAAGTATAGTTCTGTGTACTAATTTATTAGTCAGAACTGTTAAACAGAGACGGTAAACTAATGAAGATGGCGAACGGGAGCTGTGTGCGTTTAAGCGCCGATGTTCTCAGCGCTGTCAAAATAAAAGTCCCGCCTCTGACATATTGGGTAAACAGAATTGGTGATATATCTTTGCGATATATCGGTCGACCACTACTCTAGATATGACTTGGGTGGCTCCTTTAATAAAAGTCACTGGAATTTTTTTTGCCCGTTTTAACATTCGCTTGGCGAAAAAGTGTGATCACTTAGAAAAGAACAAAAACTTCACAGATGTGCTCATAACAGCTCATAAATTCATACTATTTAATCAGAACAATACGCAAGCTTACAGCAACCTCTGTCTCTGAGCACAAAATATTTATATCAGAGATGGAGGAACATAATTGTGGCCTAGAAAGGCTTTATGTGACAATGGTATGCGGGTCTAGCATACATATGTACACACACACATCAGCGAGGGAGAATAGAGACCCACAGCATGCTCTGAACATCGCTGAGTTCACCGTTCATTTTTCTAATAAGAGCATTCACAGCACCATACATCATAACTTACATCTCATTTCATATTAAGACCACATGGTACTGAGTCCCCACAAAATGCACATCTATAAGAGCTACACAACAAAAAAAATAAAAATAAAAATCAAGATCAAAATAAATCAACCCTCTCACCAATCCCACAAAATAGTACATAAGATATTTTAGGTAAAATTTCTAAAACCTATTTGATTATGAACACATAATAAGGCACGTAATAAGAAATTAGGTAAATACACAGTAAATATGATTTTTTTTTCACCATGATTTCTTGAATGATTATAGTGGTACAAAAACCCGATGAGGTTTCAAATTTGATTTTTTTTTCTCTTCCATAAAAAAGAACAAATTACCAAAAATAAGTAACTTTTTTTCTCAAAAAATCTTGACAATCCTTATGATATATAGACCTGAATAGTTTTGCTTTAAGACTGTAAACTTCAACAAAATTCAATTTCTTTTGAGAAGTGAAAGCGACGTTTTGAATCACTTCAGGTGAAATCAGTCAAAGACAAAAAAAGCCACTATCCCTTGCCTTGCATGAACATGAAGATTGTTGATTTATTTCATAACTGTGATTCAAATGGACACTGATAGAGGATATAGCGCACATGCATAGAAGCTGCTCCCTTTAGATGCTACTCAACAGGTCTACGGTGACCCTCCTTGGAATGTTAAGGCCAGATTATCACTAAATGAGACGGCGCCGTCATCAAATATCCTAAACAGTCCCAATGAAACCGGTAATAATACACTAGTACTAACTAAACACATACATATACAGAATCAGCTTCTGTGTATGCACACCATTGCCATGTTCCAAAACCTAGTGAGCTGCCTATTTAGATGGCATTTTAAGGCATCACATGTGCGCTCCCGGCACAAAGGCTGGAACAGCCTTCTAGGATATCTAATTTTGGCCAAAATCTAAGGCAGCACTGCATGTAACCATTGTGGATAAGGCAATCCCAGAATGCACTGTGAAGCTCATTCAAGATGGTGGGCGAATCAAGGCAAATGTTGATTATAAATATACTTATAATTCACTGAAGAAAAATATCTATAAATTTGTTTAACCTGTTTAAAAATGCATTATTTGGACTGCAGTGTTGATTTTTCGCATCAGGCCAAAACCCGCTAAAATGAATCAATCAGATGAATCAACTCATTCCAGAGTTTGACATCAGCATGTTGCTAGGCTAATGTTGCGATACCTGAAGTGTAGAAATACATAGCACAAGCTAATATTGAGTATGTTCTAGGTATTTTTACATTTATGCAGTGTGTGATGTTTGTCGCGGTGCACTGCAACATCTCTAGACTGTCTATACTGAAAAAAGCCAAAGTTCCAAATCCATTTGTCCTGTTGTCGGAAGTAGCGCAAACGCTTGTAGTACGTCAGAAGTAGAACGGGGCATCAGTTTACTGTTGTGTCGCATCATGCCACACCACATTATTAGCTTAGCAACATGTTAACCTCAAAGCCCACCACTGTAATAAGTGTAAAGAATTCACAATAGAAGCTCAATATTGGCATGCGCTATGTATTTCTACGATTGGACTTATTAGCTTAGCAACATGCTAATTGTACTAAAATCAAACAAATCCAATGCTAGCCTTCAAACGCTGCTCAAAACGTGTAATGTATCGATTTTTGAATGGAATCAATGCTAGTTTTGGAGTAAGCTATATTTGGAGCTGGCAAGCATTTCCATGATGCCAAGGTCTTTGTGTGATTGACTTAGAAGATTCACGTGATCAAAGTTGACCATTTTTTTCCCAATGATACAGACTCAAAGTTTAACATCTCCACCTCTAGAAGAAAACCTCTGGCCTGGACTCTATTGGAGGCGAGTTTCCTGTGCACTCCTGTGCTATTAGTCAGTTCTAGAGCACTCCAGATCAGTCACTAATAGGCTTTCATGGCAATTAGAATGCTGCCTTAGAAGGCAGTTGCCTATGCAGCAGCTCACTAGGATTTGGGAAATAGGTGGCGTCTCCACGTCACTCCGAATTGCTCTTTCCTTTAATATTTGGTATGGTCAGATGCAGAGGCATTTAGTGTGGGACTGCAAGGCAAAAGAGAGTGCCGCCTTTTCTTTTTTTGCTGTGACTCAATGGGCTTCACTACGGTTTCTACAGAGCCCATGGCTGCAAACTCTCACACCTGTGGACATAGCCGAGGAGTGAAAGAACAGAGTAACGAGCACAGAACCTTCTGCCCCTGTGTGGAATGATGGAAAACAAGAAGAACGAAAGGAAAAGACTCAACTAAGAGCAAGAAGGGGAACAGAATGGAGGAAATTATCAATTTCCCATCGAGATCACGGGCTATACCATTCACATTGAGAATTTCACTTTGGAGGAGGCGGAGCCTCTTAACAGGCTGGGCGTTGCTGATTGGAGCGTTCCAGTAAGGTTGACAGCTGGCCGCGAGTTTTCCGGAATGATCATGCATGTTTGAAAATGTTCGTCCCGGTTCAGAGGAACCCGATCGACTGGACAATGACATCGCGCCATTGCAACGAAGATGTTCTCTGACAGCATTGCAGGTGCAGAGAGCCCACAAAAGGCCGGTCTGTTTCATATAAAATTTTCATAATACAAGAAAAAAATAACAAGTCACGCCATTCACTATCTATTCACAGATGCCTACCATCTGGCTATACATCTTTGCACAGTAAACAGATATGAGGATGCCAAACATTCCCCACGGTGCCTGTCTTCAATTCAAATCAAAGTGCTGAGAAACAAAAGATTTGTAAGCCGAAACAGCTGCGAATTTTAAATGCACTCATTCTTGAATCCATAGCACTCTTATTTTAATGCTACTCTGAAGAAAAAGGACAAGACCATTGGTCGAGGCCGTCGCTACAGATTTTTTTTTCCAGCAGCACCTTGATGATGACGTCAGCAACATTCAAACGGTTGACCGTGCGTTCAACACATCCCACGGGAAATGCGGTGCTCCGTTGAAACAGCCAATGAGAATGAAGGTGTCATTTTTTGGGGGGAGGCACAGCGGAGACTCCGCCCTCACTTAGGTCTGGGGTAACAAGGCCATTGGGCTACAGGAGCGTCAGTCTCCAATGTAATCGGCAAGTGTGCGGTGAAGAAACTTCCTCAGCATTGACTTTTTTGAGAATGTTCACCCCATGTTAGTTTGCGTTTCACATCAACAAAGTTCTCGCCAATAGACTAAAGAGGGAGTCCTACTTCCTCCACATGGAGGTTCCCAGAAACGTCACATTGTCATGGATATCCCATGTGTCTTCAGCCCTGGTTTCGTGAGAGTAAATCAAACTCACTCTGAGACTGTCTAAAGGTTCTGCAGTAGTCTCTTATTTGCTTTTTTATCTTTCTTTTTTTTGTTTTTGTTTTTTCTTTTGAAAATCTCTAAAACTACCCCATGAATATCTATAATTGTTTTTTTTAGAGTTTGTCAGTCAGTCTTATTCTCTGAACGAAACAGTCAGACTGCTGAAGGTAGAAGGGCTGGAACGGGGAGGATGGGGAAAGGGTGCGTTTGTACTGTGGTGAAGGTGGTGCTAGATGGTGGATTTGGAGAAAGACACTCGCAGATGGTGGTTTTCTCCCAGGTCATGGTTGTGGAGGTCGATAAGAGCCTGGATGGCTTCTTCCACCGAACCCAGCTGGATCAGTGCCATTTTGCGGTCTTTCCTATTAATCATATATGGATAGTGAAAATGAGACACTGGGTGATCCTGAAACAACTCAAGATCAGCCAAATTTAGGACCAGTTGGTCCAATGACATAGGGTCCAAGATAAAAAAAAGAAAAGAAAATCTTTTGAAAACTAAGTTTAAAACATATTTGTGTAGGTTTTAAATGGTGGTGAATCAACATTTACAGCATTTTCAACAAAAAACGTCAAAATTGTTTTAATGACTACTCTCAAATCGTCACATGGGGTAACCATCAAGTAAAAAGTTAAATCATATTTTCCTTACAAAAAAAAACAAATTAAAGGGATATTTCAACCAAAAATTCTGTCATCATTTACTCAACCTCAAGTGAAGCATGTTGGTAACCAAACAGTTGCTGGTAGCCACTGACTTCCATAGTATTTTTCCATACTATGGAAGTCAATGGCTACCGTCAACTGTTTGGTTACCAACATTCTTCGAAATATCTTCTGTGTTCAACAGAAGAAAGAACTACAAAGAAACTATCCCTTTAAACAATGTAAAATAGGAATGTCCTTTCCTGCTCCTAGAGGGCCATCTAGCTACACATTTTTTCCCTAGTAAACTTAAAATCACTGTTACATTTTTAGAGGATCATGTAGACGTTGTTGATAACATTCCATTTATGTTTTCACAAAAAACTAATCCTTATCAGCCATGTTGTCATGAAGAAAGGTACAAGCAGACTCTTCCACATGTGAACAGATACTTACTAAAATCAGATAAATGAAGGCTGAGAACAAAAACAAATGTTAAGAGAACTCACTGGAAAAACTTGAAGGCCTTGACTGTGAATCCAGAACCGGCAAACAGGTCTTTCAGAAAATCATCTGTAGTGGAGGGGCTGGGGGGAAAAGAAACAACAACACAGTGATTACAAAGGACAAAAATAGCACCTTATCTGATGCCAACAATAATGTAAGACTTCTAGTGGAGTGAAACAACCGCTAATAATATGATAATATGTGTGGGGTGATATGAATAATAATTATATATCATGGTATAAGTAATTTTACTTCGCTGTAAAATTATGCATCACAATGAGGTTTCTTTTTCTGGAAATTCAAGCCTCATATGTTTTATATATTGCAATGCAGTCAATGTCTATTTTTTTAGTGACTTAAAAAGTTTCCCCACACAAGTATTTTATAAAGTTTAATTTAATATGAATAATATAAATAAAAAGCAAATCATTCTAAGTTTAAAATTGGCTCGCTGTAAAATTATGCATCACAATGAGGTTTCTTTTTCTGGAAATTCAAGCCCCATATATTTTATATATTGCAATGCAGTCAATGTCTATTTTTCTAGCGACCACAAGTATTTTATAAAGTTTAATTTAATATGAATAATATAAATAAAAAACAAATCATTCTAAGTTTAAAATTGGCTCCTTAATCCAAAACAAAATCAAGACTTTGTAAAAGAGCATAATAAGACCCCTTTAACATTAATTATTATAATTAAAAAAACCTTGAGATTTGCAGATTTTTAAAAATGCTTATTTAAGTTAGTCCAGCAAAATTGAGTTGTTTTTTTTGTTGCAATATTTTGTAACATGCTGTATTGAGCGTGTGGTGCCCAATGTGTGGGTGTGTGCCAGTCACTCACGGGATATTTGAGAGGTGCAGGGTGGCGGAGGGAGGAAAGATGTTCTGGAAGTTCTTGGAGCCGGGCTTTTTGAAGCGGTGCAGCGGGCTCCCACTGAAGTCTTTGGTCAGGCCCTGGTCCTCCTGACCCTCCCTGGGGAGCTGCACCGTCTGGTGCTTTGAGATGGTCACACGGATCACCTTACCATGCAGACGCTGACCGTTCAAATGGCTCATCGCTTAACAAACAAACCCAAAGATAATGTGTTACAGATAAGCTTTAACCCTGAGTGAGACACAATGTATTACGCTCTTACACTGAACAAATCTTTTTCTTACATTTGAAGAATGAAAACTCATGTATACAAGTATGAGAATGAGTATGTTTTTTTCAACATTTCACACACACACACACACACACACACACACAAAGCCTCTAAATATGAGTGTCACTCATCTTCTGAGTACTTAACCCCGTTTTGTACACCTCATTCATAAAACACAACCAGAAAGTGAAGTTATGTAAATCATTTTGCAAAAATTACCAAAAATAACCCATTGCTAATCGACCTTTTTTACAGTATAGAATATATTTTCTGCCTCATTCTGTGATAAGAAGCCACATCAGATCACAAAAGGAAGTTATTTCAAACACTCGACTGATGTTGTGGAGTAAAAACATGTTAATGTTCTCTTTTGTTGGACAACAGGTTTAGAAACGCTTCTCATTACAAGTCATTACAAGGGATGATATTCGGCATGTGTTACTTTTTCAAATGCACAAACGCAAAACGGAAAAAAAAGGAAATAATGATTACTCTACTGTCCTAGCATAAGAAATCTGTCTGCGGGAGTAGAAGGGGGATCGAGCGGGATTTTGTGTTGCTGTCGATTTGCAGTCTCTTTTTCATGATAGGCCTAAGGCATTTGTCAGTTATCCCCGCTTGCTATTTGGGGAATGAACCCAGCGCTCTGATTGGTCGAACTCTTCTTTTGATTTGAGTACTGCGTGTGGACAGAGGCGTCACCAGGTTTTTGCGTAGTTTAAAGTGAAAATCGTACCAGTGTACTTTGAGGTCAAAATGCGTACAGGTTGGCAGGTCTGCTTGCTGATTTGTAGCTTTAATACAGACACAGAATACTCCAAAAGACGCCTGATCAAAGGATGAAGAGAATGTATTCAAGATGAAAAGGATTTCAGTGTAATGCCTGGCGTACCGAGCTGGGCTTGCGTGGCGTCTGCCATCTGTATTAAGGCATTCTCTTTCTTGTTGAACAGAATCTTGACTCTGTGAACATCTCCATACACTCCTGCCGGGATAAAAGAGAAATTTAGACTTTTTTTTTTTTGTTGTTGCTGAAACCCATTGTGAACACAATTTATAGCAAATAATACATTATCTGCAGATCTCAGGGTTTCATTATTGAAGGCAGAGGGCGACAGTAACTCCTCACATGCTCAGAGCGAGCAAACATCGAGCGATTTTAAAGGATATCACTCACACTAAGGTCTGTCTCTGATGTTGACAGTTATTAAATTAATAACAATGACACACACTGAGCGTGTGTATGGGAGAATTTGAACATTCATAAGACGGGTCACAGTCTGCAAATAATCTCCCGACTGTGTTTGTAAGGAAATGGTCTCATCGCTCAGCCTCTATCCTCTATTGCCTTCATAAAAATAGCCATCTGCACATCTAATCTAGAGGAGTAATAAATGCATCCTTACCGAATAAAATGAAGAGCCCGTGTGGTGATATGCTCTGAAAGAGATGGGACATTATCATAGAGATCATTCAGTACTGAAATGTAAAAAGTGCTGGGAAAAGATGAAATGACTAAGTGTAAAATGTATGAAGAAACATTGATAGGTGATTGGCTGTGAAACACGTTGACACTGATCACTTCAATGTGAATGCCGGCCACTAACGCTGCAGAATTAAATGAAGAAAGTGTCTTGTGACATCAACTGCTGAGACTGAATAAAGACGCATGAAAATAGGTTTGGATTAACTCATATGACAAGACAAAAGATTAGAGGGAATCATTTTACAGGCACTGATATTTAAGGCCAGTGAGTGTTTATGCTCCCTGCATAGTCTCTGTGCAATACTGTAAGCTATAGTAATGGCTCAGATTAGACCAATAGACCTATCCACATTTATAACAACAAAAAAAAGCATTTTATGTAACTGCACACACCAGAAAAAAACTATATATACTGTATATTTACAATATTACATATTTTATATAACTGATATATATTACACAAAAATATGAAGCAGCACAACTGCATCCAACATTGATAATAATAAGAGATGTTTCTTCAGTATCAAATCATATTAGAGTGATTTCTGGAGGATCATGTGACACTGAAGACTGGAGTAATGATGCTGAAAATTCAGCTTTGATCACAGAAATAAATTATATTTTACTATATATTCACATAGAAAGCAGTTATTTTAAATTGTAATTAAAAATAAAACACATTTTACTGTATTTTTGATTAAATAAATGCAGCCTTGGTGAACCGAAGAGACTTCCAAAAACTTAAAAAAAGAATGAATATAATATAACATAACATAACATAATATAATATAATATAATATAATATAATATAATATAATATAATTTCTGGATGAAAGTATCTAGATCTGTAGTCTAATTATCAGTATCAGCTATCAAAAAACCTTTCTGGGTCAAATAGTATCTCAGAATCATACTGGTGTCCACATGTTAAAAACCCATCTTTTGTGTGCTTTTTAAAGCCTTAAAAAACATTCTTGTTAATTGAAATAAAATAAACTGAAACTGAAAGAAAAAAAATTCAGCATTCCTTTTTTTCATTTAGTTTAACTTGATGTACTAAAATAACTAAAACTTTAACTAAAATGAAAACGGAATACAGACAGACAGACAGACAGACAGACAGATATAGATAGATAGATAGATAGATAGATAGACAGACAGACAGACAGACAGATAGACAGATAGATAGATAGATAGATAGATAGATAGATAGATAGATAGACAGACAGACAGACAGATAGATAGACTAAAGTACTAAAATGACTAAAACTGAAATAAAAATGAATTAAAACTACATAGACACTAAAAAACTAATAAAAATGACAAAACCAATAAAATTACTAAAACTTTAACTAAAATGAAAACGGAATACAGACATACATAACTACAGACAGAAAGACAGACTCAGAATTTTGACCACTACGGTCTAAAATGCTTTTTGAAGGGCACTTACAGTATAATTGTAAAATATTATAATTTATTTTGACCTCTTTCCTACCATATATTATGCAATATAAATGAGAGATTTGTGGTGGAAGGGCTCACAGAGAAGGGTCAGTCACTAATGTTGACATCAGTTATGTCGTGGGACGGTGGTGTTGAGGGTGGGGATGGAAACTCACGTCGGGGTTGAGGTTGGAGACGAGGAGCACAGAGTGGATGACGGTGGGGGCCATGCCGTGGATGGTCATCCGTCCTGTCATTGCTGATGAAGGGATGGTGAGAGGTCCCAGAGCACCAGGCATTGTCTGCATAGACAGACCTGAGCGGACCGGAGCGGAGCGCAGCCCAGCGGGATGGGAAGGGGAAGACGGGAGAGGAGGAGTAACATGAGAGAGAGGAAAGGAACCTTCTAGAACAATTCTCCGTTTTCACAACCTGTTGCTGCTTTTTCAGATAAACAACATAAGGTCTTCTTGTAATAGCTTATTAAATCAATGTGTTGAGGCATTCTGGGTACTTTTAGTCCAAATGAGTATTGAATTGGATGGTCGGGGTAGTAAGAGGTTTAAATAAAGCCAGCAGAGATCAGGGTCAGGAGTGTGAAAATGGAGCCAAGCTTGAGAGTTACTCAACACGAAACGGCATTCACAGCATGCTTAATATGTGAAGGACAAATTATTCGATTTGTGTGAAAGAAAAATATTCAGTGGTAAATAATTTGTACATTGAGATTTGATATTAAAATACTGATATATTTGTTATGATATTATTATTGGTACTTTTATTTGACTGAGACCTTGATTATGTCATTAGAAAAGAACTTTTGTGACGGAAGTGGAGAAAATTATTTCATTTGGAACAACATGAGGATGAATACATGTTTGATTTTCAAGTAAATATGTTAAATAATACACTACTGTTCGAATGTTAAGGGTCAGTTTTAAAAGAAATATATAATTTTTTTCAGCAAGCCCAAGGATGCATTAAACTCATCAAAAGTGACAGTGAAGACATTTATATTGTTATATAGAACATTTTGAGAAATGTTGGTTTCCAAAAGAAACAGGAAGCAGCACAACTGTTTTCAACATAATAATAATAATAATAATAAATTACTTGGAGCAGCAAATCAGTATATTAGAATGAGCTTTGATCACAGGAATAAATGACATTTTAACAGATATTTACATAGAAAACTTAAAATTTAAATAGTTTTTACTGTATTTTTGATCAAACAAATGCAGCCTTGGTGAGCAGAAGAGACTGATTTGAAAAACATTTCAAAATCTTACAGAGCCCAACATTTTTTGCCTTCTTAAATATCATGTGAATAATATTAAATGTTGTCTTTAAGAAAACCTAAATTAAGACTTCGTAAGTAAAGCTGCACAGTGACTTGAGCTATTAAGTTTTAATATATGATGAAATATGTAATTAAAGATCAATGCAACGCACTTAAAGGTGCAGTGTGTAAATTTTAGCGGCATCTAGCGGTGAGGTTGCGAATTGCAACCAACGGCTCAGTCCCCGCTCACCCCTCCCTTTAGAGAAGCTACGGTGGCCGATACAAGACTAAGATGATACAAGACTAAGATGTCGTCGGTAAAGACAGCAGAGAGCAATGAGGTTTCTTTACAAAGGTAAATTAAGGAATTGTATTTACTTAATTATTCAATAAATCGATGTTATTGCGAATATTAATGTACTTGTTCATCATCGTGTCAGTGTTTTATTCGCAAGAACAACAAAGTGACGAAACGCGCTGTGTAGAGCAGTTTGTCCGTTTAGGGCCACTGTAGAAACATGGCGGCGACTTCCATGTAAGGGGACCCGCGGTGTATGTAGATATAAATTGCTCAATCTAAGGTAATAAAAACATAACGGTTCATTAAGTAAGGTCTTTATACACCTCTGAAAACATAGTTATGTATATTATATTGCATTTCTGTCAATAGATCGATGTAAATATTACACATTGCACCTTTAACTGAAAGTTGAGAATTGAAAATGTCAATTGAAAATAAATTGAAAATAAATTGAAAATTGAGTGTTTACTATTGTCCTTTTGCATTATTGACACACTATTTTCCTATTTAATACTGTAAAGCTGCTTTGACACAATCTGT